AAAAAAAAAAAAAAAAAAGAGTTAAAGAATATATCCAGGTGTGGTAGCTCATGCCTGTAATCCTAGCACTCTGGGAGGCTGAGGCGGGTGGATCACTTGCGCTCGGGAGTTTGAGACCAGCCTGAAAAAGAGCGAGACCCCCATCTCTGAAAAATAGATGAGCATTGTGGCAGGTGCCTGTAGTCCCAGCTACTGGGGAGGTTGAGGCAAGAGGATCACTTGAGCCCAAGAGTTTGAGATTGCTGTGAGCTGTGACACCACAACACTCTACCCCAGGGTGACTGAGTGAGACTCTGTCTCAAAAAAGTAATAATATGTTTACTATGCTTTGAGCTTCTTTCAGAAATAATTTAATTGATGACCTTTAAAATTTTTCATGGCACACACACCAGTGTGCTGCAGGATTCCAGTTGAAAATCACTGGTTTATAGTGATGGTAGATTTATCCCACAGATTATCATACCAAGTATTCCTGTGTCTCTAACTCAGCTATTTTAATGGCAGTGTTTTCTTTTTTCCCTTTGCATCTTACGGAGCATCATACCACCTGTGAATAGTTCTTTTCCTCTCCATCTTCAGGGTCACAGTGTCATCCGTTCAGCAACCAATACCACCCTCCCTCACATGTTGATGTCTCAACGCGTTATTGCACCAAACCCAGCCCAGCTACAGGGTCAGCGGGGCCCACCTAAGCCTGGCCTTGTACGTACCACAACACCCAACATGAATCCTGCCATTAATTACCAACCGGTAAGCGAGAACTATAAGGTGGAAATAAAGAAATCTTTACTTTTCTTGTTAAAAGGGCCATAGGTTTTAAGGTACCTAGAGAAACCCCAGGAAAACAAAGGTTATTTGCGTGGAGCAGTTCCAAAAATGGAAACTTTGAGGAATTATATGCAAATAGTAGTAGAGGAGAGAAGTTATACAGAAGAACAGTAGTAAGCTAAAATCTGCCTAGAAGAGATATGAGTGATCTAGGAAATAAAAGGCACAAGGATATGTTATAGAATGCAAAAATCTTTTTTTTTGTCTTAGCAGTTTTAGATCATAGCCCTCATTGTTCTCCTTTCTTGTGGATCAGAGGTTTGTTTTTTCCCCAGTTAATAAGTTAAGACACCTCTTAGTTTGCAGAAGCTAAGAAGTCCAGGCTAGGATCAGACATCTCCCAGAAAACCAAAGTTGTCCTTTTTCCCACATGCCATCACTGACCTTGCTTCTTACTCTGTTTCAGCAGTCAAGTTCTTCTGTTCCCTGTCAGCGCACAACATCCTCTGCCATCTATATGAACCTTGCTTCTCATATCCAGCCAGGGACCGTGAACAGAGTGTCATCACCACTTCCTAGTCCTAGCGCCATGACCGATGCTGCCAACTCACAGGCTGCAGCCAAATTGGCTCTTCGCAAACAGCTGGAAAAGACACTCCTAGAGATCCCGCCCCCTAAACCTCCTGCTCCCTTGCTTCACTTTCTGCCTAGTGCAGCAAATAGCGAATTCATCTACATGGTAGGCTTGGAAGAAGTCGTGCAGAGTGTCATTGACAGCCAAGGTAAGGCTGTTCTTCTAGTCAGTCTCTTTATCTAAGCAAGAGGTTCCCAAGCCTGACCGACAGGGGCAGAGTATTACAGGGTACTGTGCAGTATTAAATAACCTCCTATTGCCAGACCACCTCCCCTCCTTTATTTACAGGCTATTTGGGAATAACATATCAGAAGAGCTTTGTGTGCATATGTGTATCTTAGTCTTAATGTTTTTATATGTTTTATATATCTTGTATGCTTTTACAAGTATAGTATATCTTCATTTAATATTGTTTAGGTTCTTGGAAACTGTGACTTAAAGCAAAATGACTATAGCAGGCCCTTGAATGATGTTTCTTTTTTTTTTTTTTTTT